TGAGAGGAGAATGGGTTTTAGCAGACTTTGTTACCCAACAAATGCAAGCGCGACAAGGCAGAGGCAAATCTACCGACTATATTTTGGCATGAAATGCATGTGGACTCGTTTTTTGTAAATATCTCTTCATCCAATGACCCAATCGATCTCCACCGACCCTATGCATTTGTATTAAAGAATCTGTCTATGTAACTGTCAACAAAATAAACAGCAGAACGCAGACTGCTTGCAGAGGAGAGCCAATGACCTGTAACAGCGGCAGTGTTGGGACATAGACAACAACTTTGCTCTTGGCATGAAAAGAACATCGTGCTAAAAATTGTGAAAAATAAACCCACAACCAATAAGCAAAACCTTGTACACAAAGGTAGGCCTCCAGAGTAAGATTCTTTTGACATCAGGGGTCATCTGAGATGTCATTCGCCGGCTATTTGCTAGAAATGAACACCTGTCCACAAGAACTTAAAACACATCCTTGTAGAAGAGGATCACGACATCAATGTTTTGGGTTTATGCTAAACAAACTACTGCTCAAATTTCGATACAAGGGTACAAGAAGGTAGCAAACCAGAAACTTTACATGTGTGATGGCAGAGATCTGATATTGTGAAAATAAAGGTGTAACTATCTGAGAGAAATTGAGCAGGGCAAGAGGATGGGTTCGAACCTATATATCTGGATGAGACCTGGGTCAATGCAAACCATACTGCTGCCAGACGGTGGCTACCCACTGATCCCAGAGATGGTAGGAAAATACCAACAGGCAAAAGTGAGCGTTTAATCGTTCTTCATGCTGGTTCCCACCGTGGATTCCTACCTGGTGATCTGGTATTTCGGTCCAGAGGCACAGATGATGGGGACTATCATACAGAAATGAACTTTCACACAGTATGTTGAGGAACAATTGTTGCCAGCTCTGCCTTACAAAAGTCTTGTTGTCATGGACGATGCTCCCTATCACAGTGTTCGATCGCGAGATTCAAACAATAGATGCCAAACTTCCAATACAAAGAAGTCAGATATGCAGCAATGGCTAACAAAAAAACAATATACAATTTTCAATTAAGGCCACTAAACCACAGTTGTACTCTTTGATTAAACCTAACAAACCTCCACCCACATATAACATTGACAGCATGCTACGCCAACACGGCCATAAAGGTCTTGAGATTACCACTGTGATCTCAACCCAATCGAACTTATCTGGGGAGACCTTAAAAGTACAGTGGCCAGGAAATCAATCATTCAAGTTGAATGATGTCAAGCACATAATCAACACTTCTATATGTGACATTGACGTGCACGCTGGCATGCATGTGTTGAACATGTCAAGAAGGTGGAGAGAAAGAGTACCTAACTCAAGAGATGACTTGAAGGAGCAAACAGTTAATCCAGTTGTCATTCGTCGGACACTGATGACTCTTCTGTGGAAGAATGGAGTGAACTTGATGAAGTTTAATTCTGTTATTATATTTACAGATAATAATAGTATCCAGCCAGATATGCTCAAAGAGATATAACTTCTTTTTAACAATGACAGCACTGACTAATTCCAACGACTTGTGTAACATGAAGCACTCATTACATAAAATTATCATGAAAATATAAATATTAACTATCTATATTTAAAGATATTAGAAATGCATTGCTTAATTTGGAATGTGAACGACATCAAAACATAACATTTTGTCTTCATTCTATCTTTTCTTCAATGAGTGTGCATGATTGTGTGTGCTAGTGTCCGAGGAACGGGGCTTTAACAGTTGTTCAGTTCTAACCATAGGTGGTCCGATTAATGATTTTAGTGTAAATATACTTTCTGTGTTCTTTAAATGCATTTCCAGTTAGGTACTGCATAAACAAAATATGACATTAACATTACAAATTTAAAGATTTTCACCTACAGAATAATTCTCACTAATGGGTTTGTGGTTAATGTTGAACAACTCAGAGAAACAAACTCCATTATGATGGTTAACAGTTGGCTCCCATCTTACCCTATTCTTTAATACAAATGCATAAAATCGGTGATTTACAATGTGATTTAGGTTGTCTGACAAAACATCCACTTGCACAGTTTAGAGATCGATTGGATCATTGGATGAAAGAGATATTTACAAAAACCAAGGTCCACATGCATTTCATGCCAAACTATAGAGGTGGTAGATATGTATGTATAGAGGGATTATGTAATACAGACTGAACAGGAGAAAAGGTAAGGTGAGGTGAAAGTGGGTTTAACGTCGTGCTTGAGAATATTTTTTGCTCATCTGACGACGATGCATGTATTAATGTATATGTGTATGTGCGGCTACTTGTACTTAGCCCAGATTTAAAGCTGGTTTTATAGTGCTAGCCCACTGAGATACCATGCCGCAGTGAAGCATGAATACCCCACTCAGACACATAATACTGACTCGAGGCCGACCAGTCCTTGTTGTACCCATTAATACAAATGCATAAAATCGGTGATTTACTGAATGATTAGGTTGTCTGACAAAACATCCACTTGCACAGTTTGAGATCGATTGGGTCATTGGATGAAGAGATATTCAAAAACCGGGTGCACGTGCATTTCATGCCAAACTATAGAGAATTGGTATACACCTGGCTGTACCTCTGTCATTGCTGGGATTGACTTTGCTGCTAAATTGCCATTCTCTTAAGTAGTATTCCAGTGAACTCTTTTAAATTCGTATTATTAAAGTGAAAAGTGTCTTTTTGAACGGTGATAAGTGATACCTGATTGATCAGTATTCACTAAGTGAAAAGTATCAATCAGAAATATCATCTTTAAGCCACTATACAAACACCAATCAGTGATTATCAACACCAGGCCTTATTCTCAGGAAACGTTCGTAGCCCTAAAATTCTTAACTTTGATCGTAGCCAATGTGTTAAGAATGGGCTTAAGAAGTTCTTAGGGCTACGAACGTTTCGAGAATAGCTAAGCTAGATCGGTGAACATCAAAGGGACCAAAGGGTCTGCCTCATGTGCCCTAGTTTGAAACCTAAAGGTCTGCGTGTGCAGTTACCGATTATCTCTGCAATCTTATCATGATTTTATACAATCCAGTTGACGATCCATTCTTCTCTGTTACTACCAATCAGTAACGCTATCGTAAATCCCACCATCCTAGAAGCCGTGATGGTATTGTTTATATCATATGATGTAATACATACTTACTTACACTAAGCTTGGTACCACTACAGTTTTATTATGGCTGTATTGTACAGAGAAACACATACAGACTCGCTATGCCGTGTCGTCATTTTTTATCGTTTTCGTATCTATTTGCCCTAAAATATCTTCTATAATCTAAATCCTACTGAGTTATTGCTTTCGCTTAGAACATCGGTGTAGATGATATTTTATGTAAAATAATATCTATTAAAATGGAGACACATCAACGTTAGAGAACAAATGTCCCAATGCAGAGTTTAATACGTTCTGTCCAATAGTATTCTTTGTTTGTTGGCTGGTTGGTTAACGCCACATTCAGCAACTTTCCAGCTATATGTCTGTGAATAATTCGGTGATCAACATCATGAGCATCGATCTACGCAAATAGAATACGATGTCATGTGTCAACCAAGTCAGCGAAGCCTGACCACCCGTTTCTGTTAGTCGCCTCTTACTACAATCTTGCTAACATCAATTCTAACCGGATCTTCACATGTTAGCAAGTATTCTTTAAAGAGTGGGCTTCACTGGGTGTGTAAACAAAGTCAACACTAGGCCACTGCATTCCAATTTCAGGGCTCATCACTTCAGCAAGTGTTTGACAGCTTCCCCGACAAGCCATGTGAACAGTTCCACGCTCTCCTCCCCTTTCTCTTCGGTATGCGATTACCTGCAGAACCAGAGGATGCCTTGGGACCAGGGGTGTGATCGAGCTCGGATCTGCCAATCCTGGAAGTCCAGAGACAGTATGACTCCGCCCTCCGCTATGTTTGTCCAATCCAAGTGACTCGGTTTAACTTGATGATTTGTGTTTATAAAGTATGCAGTGTCTGATTGGTTCAGTTTGTGATCGGCTGGCGAAAATGGACGTGTTATTTGTCGTTTGTAAGCTATCATTCATTTGAAAGTTTATAAGTGAGTGGTGAATGATGTTTATGATGATAATGATGATGTGTGTCTGTCTGGCTGTGTCTCCGTGTGTGTCTGTGCGTGTTGCGTACAACAGCTTGTAAAATGTTACCAAAAGTACTATATTGGTCGTCAGATGCGTTGCTTGCAGGGCTGTAACGATGCATCGAAGTATGGATGGATTACGCAATTATTGAATCTCCGATAGCAATTTATCGATTGTAGAGGAACGAAAAGTATCGATGCATCGATAGACTATTGCTATCGATATCGCAATAGTTGTCACCCATCCCCACCCCCCACCCCCATTCGTCACCCGAGACCGACTTATCTAATTGTAGGGCACCAGATATCCATGGAGACGGTCAGTTCTCTGTTTACAGTCACTAGTTAGTGTCGTTCCAGTTTTAGCTATATAACTGTAATTTGGCAATGCGGCGTCAAACATCATTCTCTCAATACGTCAAAGACATCACCAGTACTTATCATAATGTACTTGATAAACTCACATATTGGATTGAGTTAAAGGTTAAATAGGAGGCGGACGAGGACCTGGGTTCGATTCTCTTATGGGTACATTGTCTTGAACCCATTTCTAATGTCCCCGCAGTGATATTGCTGACATATTGCTAAAGAGGAGTAAAAATCATTTACTCGCTCAAAGGTTCAGATTTAACACTGCCGGTCATGAATGACGATCATCCGGTGACTGGGACCAAATTCTACGCTTCCATTGTTTCCATAGTCCCATGCAATCGGATCATACCATAAATTCGTTAGCCTCAAATTTAGAATTCATTTTTCATTTCTTTGGTATCTCATTATAGGTGACACTGACACATTTGATGAAAACCTATCATTTCAGAGTTGCCATCCGTGGCAATGAACAACAGACTGTTACAGCGAATACATTGACGAATGTACCGATGTACCAGAACATTCCCTCCGACAACAATGGGGAGAAATGGTGATGGACATGCGGCAATTGTGTGATAGAGGTGCGGAACTAGTTGCAGGTGTGCCCATCAACATCCGGGTTAGAACTGGTCTCTCACCGTGAACATCCGGGTTAGAACTGGTCTCACCCGTGAACATCGGGGTTAGATCTGGTCTCCACCCGTGAACATCAGGGGTTAGATCTGGTCTTCAACCGTGAATAACTTGGTTAAAACTGGTCTTCACCCGTGAATATCCGGGTTAGAACTGGTCTCACCCGTGAACATCGATGTTAGAACTGGTCTCCACCCGTGAACATCGATGTTGGAACTGGCCTCACCCGTGAACATCGGGGTTAGATCTTGTCTTCAACCTTGAATACCTTGGTTTAAACTGGTCCTCACCCGTGAATATCCGGGTTAGAACTGGTCTCACCCGTGAACATCGGGGTTAGATCTGGTCTTCATCCGTGAACATCGGGGTTAGATCTGGTCTTCATCCGTGAACATCGGGGTTAGATCTGGTCTCACCGTGAACATCAGGGGTTGGAACTGGTCTTTACCCATGAACATCCGGGTTAGAAGGTGGTCTTTTACCCATGGACATCCGGGTTAGAATTGGTTTTCAGCAAACCATGCTTGTATGAAGGCGACTAAAGGGGTGTGGTGTTAAGGCTCCGTTTCACCAAAGCTACAACTGGCGTAGCTGTATGTCACAATATATTGTTAGATTTTTGCAAAAGTTAAATTGTCGTTTACAGTCTGTTAGCTCCCTTGCCCCGGAAGATGACAAGCAAAGTGACTCCTATTTTTGTACAATAATGTTTACGACAGTCTTGGAAATGTTTCTGTTTTGGAGAGTCCTTTGTTTCTCGTTCACTCATTTAAACCGACTTATGGATGAAGGTTTGGACACTTTCTTTCCCCAGATTGCGCGAATGTCATGAAGGGCATCCCTAGTTGCCACGACGCCGTCCTGTACGAGAGGTTCAACGGCAACATGTGGTCGCAGTTCTGTCAGTGAGTATGGTAACCTACAATATCCGGCAGTACAGAGCAGGGGAAATATAGAGTAAAACCTTCTTTATCTATCAGTATCACCTCGAGACGCCAGATGAACGGTGGGGTACAGCCTAGTGGTTACAGCATTCGCTCGTCATACTGCAGACCCGGGTTCGATTCCCCACATGGGTACAATATATGAAGCCCATTTCTGGTGTCCCCCGCTGTGATATTGCTGTGATATTAATACTGTCTTGTCATGGCATTCCTGGAAATTACCGAGATGGGATCCGTCTCATTCACTATACTGTCTGTTCACTCCTCACGCCTAAGACCTGGGTTCGATTCCCCGCATGAGTACAGTGTGTGAATCCCATTGTCCCCTCGGGAATAAAATAATCATCTCATTTTATACTTCACTTCCAGGTCGCACAGCAATGCCACAACCTGTGTGAAGAATTTGAACTGCGCGCTGGGTACATCCATGTTTAACAAGCTGCTCAGATCAGAAGTGGAAGGCTTTGTTGCAAATGTTTGCATTAATGGTAAGTTAAGTGACCAGGGTCCCGATCGACAAAGCGTTCGTAGAGCTATGACTGTCGTAAGTCTATGTTAAAGTATGGGAGATACGATCAACTTAGAGCTACGACTGTCGTAAGGCTATGTTAAAGCATGGGAGTTACGACTGTCGTAAGTCTATATTAAAGTATGGGAGATACAACTGTCGTAAGTCTATATTAAAGTATGGGAGATACGACTGTCGTAAGTCTATGTTAAAGTATGGGAGATACGACTGTTGTAAGTCTATGTTAAAGTATGGGAGTTACGACTGTCGTAATCTATGTTAAAGTATGGGAGTTACGACTGTCGTAAGTCTATATTAAAGTATGGGAGATACAACTGTCGTAAGTCTATATTAAAGTATGGGAGTTACGACTGTCGTAAGTCTATGTTAAAGTATGGGAGATACGATCAACTTAGAGCTACGACTGTCGTAAGGCTATGTTAAAACATGGGGAGTTACGACTGTCGTAAGTCTATGTTAAAGTATGGGAGTTTACGACTGTCGTAAGGCTATGTTAAAGTTATGGGAGTTACGACTGTCGTAAGTCTATGTTAAAGTATAGGAGTTGCGACTGTCGTAAGTCTATATTAAAATTATGGAGATACAACTGTCGCAAGTCTATGTTAAAGTATGGGAGTTGCGACTGTCGTAAGTCTATATTAAAGTATGGGAGATACGACTGTTGTAAGTCTATGTTAAAAGTATCGGGAGATACGACTGTCGTAAGTCTATGTTAAAGTATGGGAGATACGACTGTTGTAAGTCTATGTTAAAGTATGGGAGTTACGATCAAAGCGCTACGTTCGCATTGCCCCCGTTGATTTAGGGCCCAGGGTTCCGATCCGCAAAGCGTTCGTAGAGCTACAACATTCGTAAGTCAATGCTGCAGTATAGAGTTACGATATTTCGTAACGTTACGAACGCTTTGTGGATCGTGACCCAGAGTGTGGTAGTTTATGATGTTTTGATGATCTTAGAAATGTTAACAAACATTTGCACAATGGGCGGGGGAAGCGCTGTGGAGTTGAATAGCTTGTTTAAGGTTGCTCCGCTCATTGAGTCTTTAACTAGACGTGTGCGTGACTTCGTGTGTTTGAACTCGTCAGGTGTCATGTCGGCTATGTAGTGCCAGCGTACCGAGAATCAGTGCCATTGTTTACTTCCTCACCACTTACATATCGTACCCGCAGACCAGTCCTTGATGTAGCCCTTAATACCGAGCACAATACAATTACCATATATGTAAACGTATTCTGGTATGCCGCAACGAGGACCGGCCGACACGATGTCCACTAAACCACGGGTGTAGTCGGAGGGTGTGGTCGAGTCTGTCTCACAGTCCCTGAACAACATTATTTTCCTTACTGCCAAGCCCTATCTGCAGTGCTAAAACCCTAAATAAAGCAAGTCCACTCTAGTCTCCCTGGAGCTCCTTTTCAATTTAAAAGGGCTTGTTTGTTACATTTAAAATTACATATATTGAGAGCCTGAGCGTTAGGTGTGGTCCAGGGTTTCGTTGTACAAAACAACCATATCGATACGGCTGTCGTACTTCTATGTTAAGGTATTGGGTGAGTGAGTTTAGTTTTACGCCGCTTTCAGCAATATTCCAGCTATATGGCGGCGGTCTGTAAATAATCGAGTCTTACGACAAGCATAGTCGCCTTTTGTGGCAAGCATGGGTTGCTGAAGACCTATTCTACCCCGGACCTTCACGTCCGTATGTGTGTGTGTGTGTGTATGTATGTATGTATGTATGTATGTATGTATGTATGTATGTATGTATGTATGTATGTATGTATGTATGTATGTGTGTGTGTGTTGTGTGTGTGCGTGCGTGCGTGCGTGCGTGCGTGCGTGCGTGCGTGCGTGCGTGCGTGCATGCATGCATGCATGCATGTATGGTATGGTATTGTATGTATGTATGTATGTATGTATGTATGTATGTATGTATGTATGTATGTATGTATGTATGTATGTATGTATGTATGTATGTATGTATGTATGTATGGTATGTATGTATGTATGGTATGTATGGTATGGTATGTATTTATGTATGGTATTGTATGTATGTATGTATGTATGTATGTATGTATGTATGTATGTATGTATGTATGTATGTATGTATGTATGTATGGTATGGTATGTATGTATGTATGTATGTATGTATGTATGTATGTATGTATGTATGTATGTATGTATGTATGTATGTATGTATGTATGGTATGGTATTGTATGTATGTATGTATGTATGTATGTATGTATGTATGTATGCATGCATGCATGCATACGCATGTATGGTATGGTATTGTATTGTATGTATGTATGTATGTATGTATGTATGGTATGGTATGTATGTATGTATGTATGTATGTATGGTATGTATGGTATGGTATGTATTTATGTATGGTATTGTATGTATGTATGTATGTATGTATGTATGGTAGTTACGATCACCTTAGGGCAAAGATCGTTTTGTACAAGGCTAGGTCTTAGACATTGAACACTTTGGTCAGATGAACGAACGCGGATATTGGGTAGCCTGTCTCCCAGTCTCTGAGCCCTAGTTCTATCTGCAATGCTAAAGCCCTAAATGAAGCAACTCAGACATGTATGTATGTGTGTGTGTGTGTGTGTGCGTGCGTGCGTGCGTGCGTGCGTGCGTGCGTGCGTGCGTGCGTGCATGCATGCATGCATGCATGTATGGTATGGTATTGTATGTATGTATGTATGTATGTATGTATGTATGTATGTATGTATGTATGTATGTATGTATGTATGTATGTATGTATGTATGTATGTATGTATGGTATGTATGTATGTATGTATGTATGGTATGTATATGTATGTATGTATTTATGTATGTATTGTATGTATGTATGTATGTATGTATGTATGTATGTATGTATGTATGTATGTATGTATGTATGTATGTATGGTATGGTATGTATGTATGTATGTATGTATGTATGTATGTATGTATGTATGTATGTATGTATGTATGTATGTATGTATGTATGTATGTATGTATGTATGTATGTATGTATGTATGTATGTATGTATGTATGTATGTATATGTATGTATGTATGTATGCATGCATGCATGTATTAGGTATGGTATTGTATTGTATGTATGTATGTATGTATGTATGTATGGTATGGTATGTATGTATGTATGTATGTATGTATGGTATGTATGGTATGGTATGTATTTATGTATGGTATTGTATGTATGTATGTATGTATGTATGTATGGTAGTTACGATCACCTTAGGGCAAAGATCGTTTTGTACAAGGCTAGGTCTTAGACATTGAACACTTTGGTCAGATGAACGAACGCGGATATTGGGTAGCCTGTCTCCCAGTCTCTGAGCCCTAGTTCTATCTGCAATGCTAAAGCCCTAAATGAAGCAACTCAGACTTCTTTAGCGTCTGAATCTCTCGTCTCACTGGGTCTCCTTTTAACATAACAGGAATTATTTGCTTCTATCAAAATTATATATATCAGAGGCAAAGCGTTAGCCTAGGGTATGGCGCTGTATAACAATGTTGATGAATGAGTCGAAAGCAATAACAGGATTCTGCACGACTAAGGGACATAACTCCTCAAATTGCAGCGCCACCTCAGCCCCTATAATTCATAAGGTGTTGTAAAACAGTTGTAAGATTGGAAAGACAGCTGCAAATTGTTATCGTTTCTTGCAAAAATAGTAAATACTTATCATTTCAGAATGCGCTAACCTTGACGATACTTTGTTGTCTTTGGAGAGCTGTTTTCACTTCCTGAGCAGATCAGGAACTCCGGGCGATGACTGCAAGTAAGTGTGCCCAAAATACGGTGACTATAGACAGAAAATCTCAAACATTTTAACCTCCCCCCGAAGAAAAATTTATCCGAAAAGTTACTCAAGAGCGGTGCACGTGTTCTTGTTTCAGACAATATTATGCCTTCGAGAACTGCATGGGCAGGTCTACAGTCGCCCCTTGCAAAGAAGTGGACGGCATCCTGAACTTCTTGTCGCCTAACTTCACGTCACGAAAAGACAGATGCACAACCACTACTAGACCAAGTAGGTCTCCTTGTAATCCAGGCAAACTGCACTTATATATTTACGCTACATTTGTTTTGGAGTGAAAGAAGAGGCATTCATGTTTCTTATGCCAGGATTTAACAAGGTTATGCCTTCACAAAGACATACATTCATACATAACCACAGAGACAAATATTGACACACACAAAAAGAAGACTCCAACGGCAACATACAAACAAAACAACCAAATAACACACAGTCAGACACATAAACACACACACTGGCACACTCAAACACACATGCATGCATACATACATTGCACACACGCATACATACATGGATGTATACATCCATGCATGCATGCATGCATAAACACAGATAGTCACTCACATGCATCCAACCCATCCATCCATCCACACACACACACACACACACACACACACACATACATACATACATGCATGCATGCATACATACATACATGCATGCATGCATGCATACATACATGCATACATATATACATGATTAAAATTGTTCTGTCAATGGAACATACCTATACTTGTATAATCTCCTAACCTGAGTATCGCGCTCAATACAACCCAGTTGATACGAACACCCTCATATCTTGTTCAATCCAGGCTAAAAGCGCCATGTTGTACCGTCAATATTACTCGCAGCGGCGTACAATCAACTCTTCTGTGCGTAGATAACTATTGGGCAAATGCTGAACGAGTAGGCGAGGGCCAGAGTTAGCTCTTCTGAGTTACTTCTCTTATCCTTGCAGGGATCCTGATTTGATTTATATATTTTAGATTTGCCATGATAATGATAATTGTTTGGCCAGTACCTGAGCAACTGGGCATATTGGATACACAAACGTTTAATTTTAATTTTTAAATTTTTACACATCAAATAACTGAAACATTGTCCAATACTCTGTAGTTGGGCAATATTAATTGTCCATTTGTCCCGACAATCCGTAAACAGCTCTTGTTTATAGCAACAACATCAACTACAACAACAACAACGACTACTACTACTACAACAACACCTACCACAACAACTACTTCCACGACGACCACCACCACTACGCCGTCCACTACGACTACTGAATTGACTACAACTATTCCATCCACGGAAGAAACGACATCAACTAGTACAGCATCATCATCATCATCAACAACAACATCAACAACTACGACGACGACGACGACGACGACCACGACGATGACTCCTCCTCCCGCCACGACATTGGAAACAACCATCGACATCCCTGATATTTCAGCCTGTATAACTCTAAACCTCATGAAAGCTATTAACGCTTCTATACAAAAAAACAACGCTACATCGCCTGAAGATAACTCCGGACTCTGCGTGTAAGTGCCCAAAGCTTGATGCATGAAGAATTCAACTCACAGTTGGTTGCGGCGCTCTGCTCGAGAAGCATATCAATGGAACGTTGTTCAAGTCGGGGTAGTCGTGTGGTTAAATGTCCCTTCGTCACGCTGAACACCAGCTTTCTATTTCTCATTTAGGGTGTCCGCATGTTGCTATAAGCGGCTTAAAACTATACTCTGTCAATTGACAATGACAGTATGAGGATTTTTTTCACAACGTCCAGTCATACATTATTTTGTTACGTCATGTTGTGACGTAAATTTATTCCTAGATTAAAATAGGCTCCCAGTACTTGAGGTGTGACGTAAAGAAGGTGAAATGAGAATCGGATGGTTGTAGTATGTGACCTTGACCTTTGAACATCATCCTACCCATTACCGTAAGTCGTTCTAGCGCTTCTGGATGTCCCTCCCCGACTCGAATTTGTACAAAAGGCCGTATCATGTGCTTTCGGTTAAACAGGGCTCACTCACTCACTCACTCTCTGCAGCGTATCATTTCGCCTTCACCCTTCAAAGAGACAGGGGGTGGTGGGGTAAACCTGGTCGCTGGTATGTAGCACCTTGAAGGCAAGGGGGGTTGCTCATTATATTAATCATTGGTACGTCTGTCAAAGTCGTTATTAGTTTGTTTGTTTTTTTATATAATTTTTTATTTTTTATTCGTTATTGGTATTAAAAGGTTGTCACGATGTAGGGTTACTGTTGCACCTTGAAGACAAGGGACGTTGCTCATGGTATCGATCACTGGTTGGCTGTCGTTATTAGTATTAAAATTAAAAGGTTGCAGCGATGTAGGGCTAGTACTGTTGGCAGGGCAACAGAAGACTGATCACCGGCATAGGGTCAATATTGCGTTAAATAACATTCATTCAGTCACTCCCAAGTCGAGTGAGTGTGGCTTTAAATAACTTCCATTCACTCACTCCCCAGTCAATGGTTCTCCTAACACTTGTCCCCAGGGAGATCGTTGGGCTGGCATCCTGCCTCACGTCCAGGTGCCCCACCCTGAAGGAACTGTCCCGCTGTCTGCTGACCCTACCCCCCAGCGTCCGACGTCACGTGGACCAGACCCTCCCGCACTGCCGACCCCACATACAGAAGGTCCACGAGGAGATGGTGGACTACAGGGCGCTGTCCAGCAACACCCATAGACGATACTTTAACATTACGTGTACACGAGGTGGGTAGGGATTACCGAGGGCGGAATCACAGTCCTGACTGCATGAACTTCCTACTGCATGGACACAAAGGATATCAACATCCTTCAACAGCGCATGCTCCGACCGGTTGTACTATGAAAGGACACCAACATACCCAGTGCATGCTCCATCCGTTTATTGTCAGAAAGGATATCAATATTCCTGGATTGAGCATGATTCGCCTATTTGTTATCAGTGCATGTCCCACCCGTTTATTATCAGAAAGGATGTCAACATACTTCAACAATGCATGTTCTACCCGTTTATTGTCAGAAAGGATATCTACATACTTGAAGAGTGCATGCCCCACCTGTCTATTGTCAGAAAGAATACCAGCATACCTGAACAGTGCATGTTCCATCCGTTTATTGTCAGAAAGGATATCAGCATACCTGAACAATGCATGTTCCATCCGTTTATTGTCAGAAAGGATATCAACATGGCTGAACAGTGCATGTTCCACCTGTCTATTGTCATAAAGGATATCAGCATACCTGAACAATGCGTGTTCCACCCGTTTATTGTCAGAGAGGATATCAGCATACCTGAACAGTGCATGTTTTACCCGTTTTTGCCAGAAAGGATATCAACAAATCTTGTCCATGTCCCGACTGTTTATTGCCAGAAAGGATATCGACATACTTGAAGAGTGCATGCTTGACCCCTTTGTTACCAGGTAGGATGTCACTATCGTTGAATAGTGCACGCTATCCAGAAAGGATATCAACATACGTTGTCCATGCTGTTTATTGTCAGAAAGGACATCACCATATTTCAACAGTGCATGTTCCACCCATTTGTTATCAGAGAAAGGATATCAACATACCTGAACAGTGCACGCCCAACCCGTTTATTGTCAGAAAGGATAGCAACACATTTTGAACAGCTGCATGTTACACCTGTTAATTGTCATATTTGGACTACATGAATATCTCTGGCGGATAAGGTCGACCACACGCGGTGCTACGTACATGACCACAATATATACTCATGGAAACAAATAAGAGAACACATGAAAGAACAAGTTTTCCTTTATTCGTTTCTAGGTTTCTTAATTTTATGTGTTCCCTTATTTGTTTCCATGAGTATATATTGTGTGTGACGGATACCCAGGGTGACCACGTTTCGATGTTCATGACATTAACCACAGGTATGTCTTGTCAAAGCCCAATTATTTACATGTCACCGTGATACGGCTTGAATAGTTCGGCGTAAAACAACATTATCTTACACCCAACTGTTAAATCATGCCTTATTTTCTCTTTCACAGCATCCGGAGCTTCAACTCGAGAGACGACAGCAACTATGCTCTTCGTAACGCTGATGACGTCATTCCTGATAATGGGTAGACTGTAAAGCTAGGACCTGGAAACCGTGGACACTCAGAAAAAAACTATTCAGCAGCTTTCAGCCCCACGCCAAACAAAAATACGTCCCTCGTTTATGGTCAACATATTTCGTTTACATCTTGGATGATTCACAAAATTCTACACACTTTTTTGAAATTTATTTGATTTGGATCAGTATGATTTGAAATGTTTTTAAATTTGAAAATAGCACATTGTGGTTTTACTCTTACACTGATTTAAATACTCTCCAGGGTATACGTTCCGATAAATCTCCACTAGTACACTGGATGCATCTACGATTCGGCCCAATGATTGTATTACCTCCCTTTCCTGGCTCCGCCTTCTCACAGTAGCCAATCAGGTAAGCCGTTACAACCAAGCTTGTCATAGTCAACAAAGATGGCAACCGCGAAGGTTTGCTCGCTGAGCGACTCAGAGTTAGGGAAGAAATCATACAGACAAATTGACAGGTCTGAAACCTTCAAAAATATATGCAAGAACTCCTTCTACCTCTTACAGGGTATCTCTGCAACAATTGTTTAATGGGTTAGATACAATAGGCGAAAGTGAGTTATGATAGAAGCCTTATGATTGGTACGCTCAACTTCCCAGCGTAGACACCTGATTAGATAAAGAGCCAGCAAATGGAGGTAATACAATTATCGGGCCGAGCCGTAGATGCATTTAGGTTATTAGTGAAGATTTATCGGATCATATACCCTGGAAATTATCGAGGGTGGATACTAATGTGCATTGTTTCAAACAATGACCGAAAAATATCGTGTGTGAAAGAAAAGTCCCATGCTCACTCACTCCAAATTGCCGAAAACAGTTGAACGCTGTATTTATAGAGCATGGGTTAACAAGAGTCCTGGGTGCCGTTGTACAAAGCGATCTTAGTGCTAAGGTGACCGTAACTCCCATACCTTAACATAGACTTAAGGTAGTCTCAGCGCTAAGGTTGTTTTGTACAACGGCACTCTGGTAGAGTCAAGGGGCCGTCTTGCTTATAATAGAAAAATCCACGTTATTTCATTTGGGCAATGTTTTATCTATACGGAAAGCTTGAAGAGGTCGAAATAACAAACACGTTCAGCAAAATATTTTTGTGGATGAATATTGTCGGTGACACTTTTCATGGGTCCGCAAATTAAAATTAAGCTGAATTTTCATTTGAACAATCCGTTGTTCTTAGCGCCGATTTTGCGATCAGATTCCGATATTGATGTGGAATGTGAGCTAAACATGTTTGTTTAGTAGTGCCATGTTTTTGTCAAGAAGCGAAATTGTGTGTGATAGTTAAATAAGGTATATGAACTGATGTACAAAAAATTACACACTAGGTGCCTTGGAATTATGTAAAAAGACGTAAATACATGTACATGTATGCTGAAAGAAGTGATTTGATGTTTTGTACTTCCTAATCGAGAAATATTTCAGACACCTGTTTGTGATTTGATCGTATTACGAGCTCAAATTAAAAGATATTCAACCCTTTTGTACATTGCTGTCAATCACAAACAATATGACGTCACAAACGTACGTCAGTTAAAGCTCCACACAGCGATCTTCATTTTTTAAATGAGATATTAAGTAAGGGATATACATGCTTATTATATATTTTCCATGGCTTAATTGCCTGAATTGTTTACTTGTATTATTGTTATATTATTATATTTGATTACCTTTCAGATTTCAATATCCAGTAAATGGATTATTGTCGCTTCTCTTGTATAATATCAGCGACATGTCTTAGAAATAGGAGGGGCGGTGGGGTAGTTAAGTGGTTAAACGTTCGCTCGTCACACGGAAGACCCGAGTTCAATTCTCCACATGGATACAATTTGTTAAGCTCATTTCTGGTGTCCCCTGCCTTGATATAGCTGGAATATTGCTAAAAGCGGCATAAAACCATACTCATTCACTCTTGGAAATAAGAGATAAATATATTTTATAGCTAAAGAACAATGTCGAATCGTCGAATCTCAGTCACCGGACGTCCACTTCAGAAGCAAGTTGTGATAAGCTAACCCATATGAACGAAATTATTCTGTTCATAATAAAACACTTTTCAGTAAAAAAACACTTTTTAAACTGTAAATAATTGTACAGGTGAGTCCTTTTTCTCTACCCTGGTATGTTTACGTGTATTTATGATAATTTTATATAATGAAGTGTGAAGTTTTTGCGGCAAACTTAGTCGGATTAAAACTCAGAATATCATATGTTTACAGAAGAATTTACAGGATCGAAGTACCATAGTTTGGCGCATTGGGCTAGACGGATGGAACTCTGGGTAGGAAAATGGCGAAAGACAATATTGTCCGGAATTTGACCTCCGAGTTCTGTTTCCTTGTCAAATTTGCATCATTTTCGAGGCAGATTATTCTTCGACAGAAGCAGCCAACGTACTGGCGGCCCGGTAAATCTAAATAAGATTATTTAAATATATATTTTCATCGCCTTCTCCTACCCAGAGACGAATAACTTCTCATCTGTGATTGTTGTAGCGCCTTGAGCATGCACCTCTGTGGATGGAAGCCAGCGCAATATAAATAGACATTATTATTAGTAGTAGTAGTAGGGTAGAAAATACCGTTACCGTTAAGGGTTTGTGGGGTAGCCTAGTGGTTAAAGCGTTCGCTCGTCACGCTGAAAACCCAGGTTCGATTTCACACGTGAGTACAATGTGTGAAGCCCATTTCTGATGGCCTCCACCGTGATATCGTGAATATTGCTAAAAGTGGCGTAAAATTAAACTCACTCACTCATTCAGCCGTTATCGTTAAGACTGACTGAGTGAGTTTTGTTTTACGCCGCTTTTAGCAATATTCCAGCAACATCACGGCGGGGGACACAAGAAATGGGCTTCACACATTTTGCCCATGTGGGGATTCGAACCCGGGTCTTCAGCGTGACGAGCCAACGCTTTAACCATTAGGCTACCCCAACACCCCGTTACCGTTAAGGGGAACAATTATTATTGTCTGCTCTACAAGAAATCATTTGTGTCTAGTTTCGACAACAACAGTAAATGCTCCACCGTATCACTGGATCATCTGGCCCATCACTTGATTGTGTGGTTTGTTTACCGGCCGCTGTCACATCACAGCAGTACTGCCGTAAGGATTTTGGAAACACATACCGGGAGATCCCGTATTTAGGCCCACGCGAAATTTAGCCCATGAGCTAAAATACGGGATTTTAAAAAAAATTGGATTTAATTCTTTGGTGTTTAGAGTGACGTCCCTTTCCAAACGCATGGCGAACCTCGACGTTTTCAACTTTAGTAGTACCTCTGCGAGGTTATCACGGTTACAGAACATTTTGGACACCGGTTACAGAGCAGTTATTAGTGACAGAAATTGAGCATGATGTGCATGCAGTTGCAGTTAAATTGAATCATGTGGTCATTCAATTTTGAATTTATAGACCAGTTTCCTGATAAAAGAGTTTTAAAAAAACCAATTATTTTTATTTTATCAAAATATTGCGCATTTCCGAATTTAAGCCTTGGGCTTGAATATGGTTAAAATATTTCATCACTAGAACAGTGATTTTCCGTATTTAAGCCCGGGGCTTAAATACAGAATTCCCAGTACTTCCTGCTACTACTATAAAGGCAGGGCACGCTCGTCCTATTCTCCAACACCCGGTGACATTTTTTTTTCATTGATCTATTCAATTTCCAAGGCTACTTTGTGTCGGCGGATGATCGATGATGTTTCTTCTCACGCGTAGACGTTTCATATTTTGTAAAAAGTACAGGCGAAATTCTTTAACAATAGGTCGCTGCTATATACCATATTTATTGTACGTATAATAATCAGATACTGTATGTAAACTCAGTAGGATTTGATGTGGTGTCTCTCTTAATTACCATGTATATAACCGTATCTCCACGTTCTATACACCTGGAAGAAAGTTAAGCACCACTAATGTAAATAGTCCTCATTAACGAAATAGTTGTTTTTATATGGTGTCATGTATTAGCTTACAAAACAAACATATTTGTTTCTGCATTCAGTACACATTCAGTACACATTATGTACAATAAATTACAAAAACCGTAATATATCACTCGACGTTTGATAGGGATATTGGTTTTAAGGATGCACAACACTGATTATCGTAATATGTCAAGTGTACATTTAAATAGGATGACATCTGTTTCTCCCTGTCAAAGGTTGAGCTGTATATATTAGTTAATGACATGTTTTGCCTCTGTTCAATATATATATATATTTTTTCTTACCCTTGGGAGGCCTGGTAGTTACAGTTTGGTCATCACACCAAGGGCCCGGGTTCGATTCCTCACATGGGTGGAATATGTGAAGCCCACTTTCGGTGTCTAACTCCTGGAATATATTGCTCCATTGCCTCTAAGCATCATGTAATTCAGGAGATAAATGCTATTTAACTGCTTTTCAGCTTTTCGGTGTTATACAGAACATACACAAACTGTCAGGCAAAATTATAGAAAACATTGACTTGAATATTACGAACGTTACACAGTCTAAACGTCATCAGGCCGAAAACATTTGTCGAAACACTGCAGATTAAGATTCAAAATCAATCAATCAATTGTCTGTTTCATTTTCGCCTCCCTAAGACATGGGGATTTTTACTACAGTTTAATAGAAAATGAAAAATAAATTGGAGCGGTGCTGTACTTTTTCCTGAGTTGTATGGTTCTTAATTTTACAATTTGTGTTTTGATGTTCAGCATAACGTATATTTTTTGTAATAAAAAATACTTCACATTGAGTGTTCTTGGCTTGATCTCACACCAGGATATATCGACGTCATCGGCAGTTCAAACAGTAGTGACACGGGTTGGAATTAGCATTAAGGTGGAACTCTACAATACGTGTTTCCCTTAGTTACTGAAAAGGAGTAATCTCCCTTGCAGGAAGGTGCGCACGAACCATTCGCGCGCTTGGATAATCGAGCAGGCGACAGAAGAGGTTGTAAAATGTCTTACCGACTAAGACCAAACGAGTGGGGAGCAAACAAGAGCAAGTTCGGGTGTGATTGCTGATGAGGTGAAGTTTCGTTGAAATGAGATACTCTCAGTTTTTGATAAAAAACACACTTGCGAACAATAATTAACGTGATTGCATGTGAACACTCCGCGGAATGTTCAGTAGGAGGTCCTATTACGATTATCTTATACTAAGGGGGCTTTGTAAAAGAGGTTGGTTCCCTAAGGTAACACAA